ACGCAGCCGAGGGGGGCTAGTAGTGAGGCGGAGACCCTACTACTTGATGATGAGGAGGTTGATCGCACTTGGCAGCCTCGTCGTCATCAGGCAATTTCTTTCTTTCCGCATCATCAGGAGAAGAGGGTGGCAGCAGCTTGGCAGCGAGCAAAACAGTCGGTGGGTTTTGCCCAGGAGACAGCAGCAGGGTCGCATCAGTGTCAGTGGAGCCAAACGTCCACGGAGTAGAGCACCAGCTCCACTGCAGCCTACCACCACGGCACGGCCAGTAGTGGTGCCGGTGCGCACGGAGGAAGTAGCAGTCAGCCCAGTGAAGAGTAGCGGGGGCAAAGTTTCCTACTCGGTGGTGTGGCAATTTTTCCAAGCCGCCCGAGGAAGTAAACGTAGCCGTATATGTCGACTATGTGGCCAGAAATGCAAGCGTGGCCAGGGGGCCCATGTTGTTGGGGGACTACACAGCGTTGCGTCAGCATATGCAGCGTCACCATTCGGTGGCCTGGGAAAACCCGTGAAAACATACGGCGGTTCTCTGCCTGCCCCCCCCCCCCGCTCCACCCCCACCCGCTCCGTTTACTTTGCTCCGTCACCCGACGTCGTCAATCGCCCTCTATCAGCCAGTCAAGGCTCCAACACCTCTGCTGAGGGGAGTTTGTCGCTCGTTGGCATCTTCCGCTCGTTCAGATGCTCCTTCCTCCTGCTACTCTCTCTCTTTCGGATTCCGTCAACAGTCTTTCTTGGAATCCGTATCCAAGAGACAACAGTTTGCGAGCGCAGCACGCACACCCCGACGGTGCAAAAAAGCTGAACGTCCTCCTGTCCAAGTTGCTGGTGCTGCAGTCCCTCCCTTTCCAACTGGTGGACTCAGCACCTTTCCGAGAAATGATGGCTTGTGCCGCGCCGCGGTGGAGAGTGCCAAGCCGTCATTTCTTTGCCCAAAAGGCAGTGTGCCAGCCCTGCATTCACATGTAGAAGAGATGGTGGGCCAGTCTTTTGAGCATGTCGGTCTCTGCCAAAGTGCACGGCAGCGCGCCGACGTGTGGAGCTGTAACTACGGTCAGGGACAGGGTACAGTACATGTCATTTACGGCCCACTGGGTGAACGAACGTGGTGCCGGCACAGCCGCACCAGCAACTTGGACAGGTCACGACGCTTTTGCCTCCACGTTTGCACGTCCTTGGTCCAGCAAGCATGTGTCCGCCCTCTACCACCCTCTCTTTTTCCGCCGTGTCCTCCTCCCGCCACCCACCCCCCCCCGTGCCAAGTCCCATTCCCCCCCCCGACCGGCATATCACATGTGCAGGGCGCGCAACGGTGTCACGCTGTGCTGCACCTGGTATGTATGCCTTGGCGAACGTAGTCACACAGGGGGGAGGAAACTGCTGAGTGTAATGTAATGAACAGAGAAAGAAATCGACAGATGGCTGTCTCTCTCCGCGCAAACTAAAAATCGGAACCATGTTGACTGACAACGGAAAAGAACATGGTGTCTGCTCTGCGTCAAGGAAGGTTGTGCCATGCGCCATGCATGGCTCACGTGTTCAATCTGGTTGTCAAGCGGTTCCTAAAATCCACCATCCCACTGCAAAGACATCCTTAAAATGTCGTAAACTGTGCATGCATTTCAGCCAGCCATTCCTACACCGCAAAGAACACCCTCATTGAGCTGCAGCGGCAGAACGGAATTCCACAGCATCGCCTGATCTGCGACGTTTGCAACAAGGTGGAATTCAACCCTACACATGTTAGACCGCCTTTACGAGCAGCGAAAGGCCATCACCGATTTCCTGATGTTACAAGCGGATAAAGGTACTCCCCTGTGTAACTTAGATGTCAGCCATTGGCAGCTCATGCGTGACACCTGCCGCTTGCTCAGGCCCTTTGAGGAGGCCACGCTATTCGTGAGTCGGCAGGACTATGGGATGAACGACGTCATTCCTCTGTTGCACGTCCTGGAACAAATGCTGTTAACAATGGGCTGGTCAGGGTGCGGTAGACGACGTGGCGCACAGATCTCAACGCCACATGACCCCTGTGGGGGGGCAGGACAGGAAGAAGAAGAGGAGGAGGTAGAGGAGGACATTTTTGTGCTCAGAATTATTGAGTGAAATGGGTGGTTTTTTTTTTCCACTCAGCGGACAGGAGTGGAGGAGCAGGAGCATCTGGTAGGAGAGGAGGAGGAGGAGGAGACAGAGGACCCAGACGCACCGTGGCAGTATGCTGTGGAGATGGAGGCAGGGAGTCCCCCTCGCATTCCTTGGCACAAATGGCCCATAGCATGCTCGGTTGCTTTGCTTGTTGCGTAGCGACAGCCGAATAATAACCATCAGACAGAGGGATGACTTTTGGCTGTCCACCTTGTTGGACCCTCGCTACCGGACCCGGTCCAAAATGGTGGCCTTTTTTCACACCTGCTGAGAGGGAGGCCAAAATTACGTACTATAAAAAACCACCTATGTAGTCAGTTGGTCTCTGCCTTTGTGCGCCAACGTCCATCCTCAGACACTGTGGGCCCTGTGCGCTCGCGCGTTCCGCTGGCATGGCAGCAGGGGAGGGGTGGGGGGGGGGTAGGAGCAGTGGCAGCTCCACCAGCAGTGGCTGCCTCAGTCTGCAGTCGATGATGAGTAGCTTTTTCTTCACCAGCGCAGTGAGGAAACTACTACTACCTACCGCAGCAGCAGCAGCAGCAGCATCAGGTGGACCTGGAGCAGGAGCTCAAAAACAACAGGCTTGGGCCTACTTGGACAGCACCCTGCCAACCGAGGTAGACAATCCCCTTGACTACTGGGCAACGAAACTTGACCTTTGGCCCCAACTAGCTGCTGAATTTGCCCTTGAAAGGCTGTCATGCCCGGCCAGTAGCGTGGCATCGGAGCGCGTTTTTAGTGCGGCAGGAGGTATTGTAACTCCGCGGAGGACACGACTGTCCACACCAAAGTGTGGAGAGACTCACGTTTGTTTGTGAAAATGAATCAGGCGTGGATTAGTCTGGATTCAAACCACCAGTTCCTGACACAACTGACTAAATCCGCCATGAATCATGCCTCAAACATGTGCCACTTTCAGGTCTCCTCACACTGCTGGTGTGTTTTGAATTTTTTGACATAGGGTGCTGGCAGATTACGGGCCTCCTATAGCTGCTGCCAGGCCCCTAATCTGCCATAGGCCCCCCTATATATCCCGCCGCCTCCTGCATGCTGCTGCTAGGTCCAGAGTCTCTCATGGGTCCCCTGTACGGCCCTCCCATTGCTGCTGCTGTCTCCATCGCCACACTCTGCTGCCATGTGCCACTTTCAGGTCTCTTCACACTGCTGCTGTGTGTTAAATTTTTTGACATAGGGTGCAGGCAGATTACGGGCCTCACATAGCTGCTGCTGCCAGGCCCCTAATCTGCCATGGGCCCCTATATATACCCGCCTCCCTGCATGCTGCTGCCAAGTCCAGAGTCTCTCATGGGTCCCTGTACGGCCTCCCATTGCTGCTGTCTCCATCGCCACACTCTGCTGCCATGTGCCACTTTCAGGTCTCTTCACACTGCTGGTGTGTTAAATTTTTTTTTTGACATAGGGTGCAGGCAGATTACGGGCCTCACATAGCTGCTGCCAGGCCCCTAATCTGCCATGGCCCCCCCTATATACCCCCGCCTCCTCATGCTGCTGCCAAGTCCAGAGTCTCTCATGGGTCCCTGTACGGCCTCCCATTGCTGCTGTCTCCATCGCCACACACTCTGCTGCCATGTGCCACTTTCAGGTCTCTTCACACTGCTGGTGTGTTTAAATTTTTTGACATAGGGTGCTGCAGGCAGATTACGGGCCTCCTCACATAGCTGCTGCCAGGCCCCTAATCTGCCATGGGCCCCTATATACCGCCTCCTCCTCATGCTGCTGCTGCCAAGTCCAGAGTCTCTCATGGGTCCCTGTACGGCCCTCCCATTGCTGCTGCTGTCTCCATCGCCACACTCTGCTGCCATGTGCCACTTTCAGGTCTCTTCACACTGCTGGTGTGTTTAAATTTTTTGACATAGGGTGCAGGCAGATTACGGGCCTCACATAGCTGCTGCCAGGCCCCTAATCTGCCATGGGCCCCTATATACCGCCTCCTCATGCTGCTGCCAAGTCCAGAGTCTCTCATGGGTCCCTGTACGGCCTCCCATTGCTGCTGTCTCCATCTCCATCGCCACACTCTGCTGCCATGTGCCACTTTCAGGTCTCTTCACACTGCTGGTGTGTTAAATTTTTTGACATAGGGTGTGCAGGCAGATTAACGGGCCTCACATAGCTGCTGCCCCCAGGCCCCTAATCTGCCATGGGCCCCTATATACCGCCTCCTCATGCTGCTGCCAAGTCTAGAGTCTCTCATGGGTCCCTGTACGGCCTCCCATTGCTGCTGCTGTCTCCATCGCCACACTCTGCTGCCATGTGCCACTTTCAGGTCCTCTTCACACTGCTGGTGTGTTTAATTTTTTTGACATAGGGTGCAGGCAGATTACGGGCCTCACATAGCTGCTGCCAGGCCCCTAATCTGCCATGGGCCCCTATATACCGCCTCCTCTGCTGCTGCTGCCAAGTCCAGAGTCTCTCATGGGTCCCTGTACGGCCTCCCATTGCTGCTGTCTCCATCGCCACACTCTGCTGCCATGTGCCACTTTCAGGTCTCTTCACACTGCTGGTGTGTTAAATTTTTTGACATAGGGTGCAGGCAGATTACGGGCCTCACATAGCTGCTGCCAGGCCCCTAATCTGCCATGGGCCCCTATATACCCGCCTAACCGCCTCCTCATGCTGCTGCCAAGTCCAGAGTCTCTCATGGGTCCCTGTACGGCCTCCCATTGCTGCTGTCTCCATCGCCACACTCTGCTGCCATGTGCCACTTTCAGGTCTCTTCACACTGCTGGTGTGTTTAAATTTTTTGACATAGGGTGCAGGCAGATTACGGGCCTCACATAGCTGCTGCCAGGCCCCTAATCTGCCATGGGCCCCTATATACCCCTCCTCATGCCTCCTCATGCTGCTGCCAAGTCCAGAGTCTCTCATGGGTCCCTGTACGGCCTCCCATTGCTGCTGTCTCCATCGCCACACTCTGCTGCCATGTGCCACTTTCAGGTCTCTTCACACTGCTGGTGTGTTAAATTTTTTGACATAGGGTGCAGGCAGATTACGGGCCTCACATAGCTGCTGCCAGGCCCCTAATCTGCCATGGGCCCCTATATACCGCCTCCTCATGCTGCTGCCAAGTCCAGAGTCTCTCATGGGTCCCTGTACGGCCTCCCATTGCTGCTGTCTCCATCGCCACACTCTGCTGCCATGTGTGCCACTTTCAGGTCTCTTCACACTGCTGGTGTGTTAAAATTTTTTGACATAGGGTGCAGGCAGATTACGGGCCTCACATAGCTGCTGCCAGGCCCCTAATCTGCCATGGCCCCTATATATATATACCGCCTCCTCATGCTGCTGCTGCCAAGTCCAGAGTCTCTCATGGGTCCCTGTACGGCCTCCCCCATTGCTGCTGTCTCCATCGCCACACTCTGCTGCCATGTGCCACTTTCAGGTCTCTTCACACTGCTGGTGTGTTAAATTTTTTGACATAGGGTGCAGGCAGATTACGGGCCTCACATAGCTGCTGCCAGGCCCCTAATCTGCCATGGGCCCCTATATACCCGCCTCCTCATGCTGCTGCCAAGTCCAGAGTCTCTCATGGGTCCCTGTACGGCCTCCCATTGCTGCTGTCTCCATCGCCACACTCTGCTGCCATGTGCCACTTTCAGGTCTCTTCACACTGCTGGTGTGTTTAAATTTTTTGACATAGGGTGCAGGCAGATTACGGGCCTCACATAGCTGCTGCCAGGCCCCTAATCTGCCATGGGCCCCTATATACCGCCTCCTCATGCTGCTGCCAAGTCCAGAGTCTCTCATGGCCCTGTACGGCCTCCCATTGCTGCTGTCTCCATCGCCACACTCTGCTGCCATGTGCCCACTTTCAGGTCAGGTCTCTTCACACTGCTGGTGTGTTAAATTTTTTGACATAGGGTGCAGGCAGATTACGGGCCTCACATAGCTGCTGCCAGGCCCCTAATCTGCCATGGGCCCCTATATACCGCCTCCTCATGCTGCTGCCAAGTCCTAGAGTCTCTCATGGGTCCCTGTACGGCCTCCCATTGCTGCTGTCTCCATCGCCACACTCTGCTGCCATGTGCCACTTTCAGGTCTCTTCACACTGCTGGTGTGTTTAAATTTTTTGACATAGGGTGCAGGCAGATTACGGGCCTCACATAGCTGCTGCCAGGCCCCTAATCTGCCATGGGCCCCTATATATACCGCCTCCTCATGCTGCTGCCAAGTCCAGAGTCTCTCATGGGTCCCTGTACGGCCTCCCATTGCTGCTGTCTCCATCGCCACCTCTGCTGCCATGTGCCACTTTCAGGTCTCTTCACACTGCTGGTGTGTTAAATTTTTTGACATAGGGTGCAGGCAGATTACGGGCCTCACATAGCTGCTGCCAGGCCCCTAATCTGCCATGGGCCCCCTATATACCGCCTCCTCATGCTGCTGCCAAGTCCAGAGTCTCTCATGGGTCCCTGTACGGCCTCCCATTGCTGCTGTCTCCATCGCCACACTCTGCTGCCATGTGCCACTTTCAGGTCTCTTCACACTGCTGGTGTGTTTAATTTTTTGACATAGGGTGCAGGCAGATTACGGGCCTCACATAGCTGCTGCCAGGCCCCTAATCTGCCATGGGCCCCTATATACCGCCTCCTCATGCTGCTGCCAAGTCCAGAGTCTCTCATGGGTCCCTGTACGGCCTCCCATTGCTGCTGTCTCCATCGCCACACTCTGCTGCCATGTGCCACTTTCAGGTCTCTTCACACTGCTGGTGTGTTTTTTTTGACATAGGGTGCAGGCAGATTACGGGCCTCACATAGCTGCTGCTGCCAGGCCCCTAATCTGCCATGGGCCCCTATATACCGCCTCCTCATGCTGCTGCCAAGTCTAGAGTCTCTCATGGGTCCCTGTACGGCCTCCCATTGCTGCTGTCTCCATCGCCACACTCTGCTGCCATGTGCCACTTTTCAGGTCTCTTCACACTGCTGGTGTGTTAAATTTTTTGACATAGGGTGCAGGCAGATTACGGGCCTCACATAGCTGCTGCCAGGCCCCTAATCTGCCATGGGCCCCTATATACCGCCTCCTCATGCTGCTGCCAAGTCTAGAGTCTCTCATGGGTCCCTGTACGGCCTCCCATTTGCTGCTGTCTCCATCGCCACACTCTGCTGCCATGTGCCACTTTCAGGTCTCTTCACACTGCTGCTGGTGTTTTAATTTTTTGACATAGGGTGCAGGCAGATTACGGGCCTCACATAGCTGCTGCCAGGCCCCTAAATCTGCCATGGGCCCCTATATACCGCCTCCTCATGCTGCTGCCAAGTCTAGAGTCTCTCATGGGTCCCTGTACGGCCTCCCATTGCTGCTGTCTCCATCGCCACACACTCTGCTGCCATGTGCCACTTTCAGGTCTCTTCACACTGCTGGTGTGTTTAAATTTTTTGACATAGGGTGCAGGCAGATTACGGGCCTCACATAGCTGCTGCCAGGCCCCTAATCTGCCATGGGCCCCTATATACCGCCTCCTCATGCTGCTGCCAAGTCCAGAGTCTCTCATGGGTCCCTGTACGGCCTCCCATTGCTGCTGTCTCCATCGCCACACTCTGCTGCCATGTGCCACTTTCAGGTCTCTTCACACTGCTGGTGTGTTAAATTTTTTGACATAGGGTGCTGGCAGATTACGGGCCTCCCATTGCTGCTGCCAGACATGTAATCTGCCATGGGCCCCCGTACCGACTCCTCATGCTGTGACGACGTGCAACAAGGTGTAATTCAACCCTACATATGTTAGACCGCCTTTACGAACAGCTAAAGGCCATCACAGATTTCCTGATGTTAAAAGCGGATAAGGTACTCCCTGTGTAACTTAGATGTCAGCCATTGTCAGCTCATGTGTGACACCTGCGCTTGCTCAGGCCCTTTGAGGAGGCCACGCTATTCGTGAGTCGGCAGGACTATGGGATGAATGAGGTCAAATCGGCCATGGGCCCCCGTACCGCCTGTTCACGCTGATGCTGGTCCCACAGTGTGACCTGGGTCCCTGTACGGCCTCCCATTGCTTCCACTCTGCCATGTACCTCTTTGAAATCTCCTCACACTCCTGCGGTTGTCCATTTTGTCATAGGTTGCTGGCAGATTAGCGGCCTTCCATAGGTGCCGCCAGGCCCCATATCGACCATGGGCCCCCGTACCTCCTGGTCACGCTGCTGCTGAGCCCACAGTGTGACCTGGGTCCCTGTACGGCCTCCCATTGCTTCCACTCTGCCATGTGCCACTTTGAAATCTCCTCACACTCCTGCGGTTGTCCATTTTGTCATAGGTTGCTGGCAGATTACAGGCCTTCCATAGGTGCCACCAAGCCCCATATCGGCCATGGGCCCCCGTACCGCCTGGTCACGCTGCTGCTGGGCCCACAGTGTGACCTGGGTCCCTGTACCGCCTCCCATTGCTCCCACTCTGCCATGTGCCACTTTCAGGTCTCCTCACGCTCCTGCTGGTTTCCATTTTGTCATAGGTTGCTGTATGGCCTCCCATTGCTGCTGCCTCCACCGCCACACTGTGGCTCCAAACACTGGTTTTGGCCCCGTGACTGCCCAAATGAGTGAAGTGTGCGGTGATTCTAAGATCGACGGCACTCATCTGCATGTCATACTGACAGACAGTATTATTTCTCTTCCCCAGCAGACTCCAAGGGCATTTAAATTAAAGGTACAGTGTTCTGCACTAATATTAAGTCTCTCTGAAGCCTAGAAACACCCTTTTTTAAGTTAAATTCACAGCGAATTTATTCGACTCGAATCGAATATTGTCCACGAATTCGCCGAATCAGTCGAATCGAATTTTTCATTTCTTCGCTCATCTCTAATCAACATATCTAATTATTTTTTCATTCATTATCATTGAAAGTTCTCACTGATTGTTTAGAATGATTTGATGAAAATAAAATTTTGTTGTTTTTTCTATTAACATAGCACGTTTTTTTTTAATTTTTCAAATGTGATAAAGAACTAGTGCACAGCCAATGATTTGATCACTTTTCAAAACACGCCTGACATGGCCACACAAATGCATGATCATGTGTGATGTGCCTTTCACATGTGTGTGGAAAAATTTACATCCCATAATATGACCCTAGCTGCTAGTGATTATGAGGTAAGGGTTAAACATAAATGGCCACATCACCAAACAAACATGCACCAAACTGTTACATAACTGTTACAAAATTAAAGTAACAAAAGATACAAGTCATAAAAATATTTATTAATATAAGAGAACAACAATAAACTGATACAAAATAACTTTTGTGCACAAACAATAAACATTGCATAACAAAACTGGCCAGAATTGGTCATTGGCTATTTTTAAAATAAAATAACATTGTCCAAAATAACAAAGCAATTTTCACAGTTGATTATATGTATGGAGTGTCAGTTCTCAGAAATTTGAGAAAATAGATGACCCATTCCAAGGGTGTTAGAGGAATCATTGTCTGTTTAGATGAGTCATTCTCCAATGTTAACTGGGTGGGGGGCTTAGATATCTTGAAGATTTGGAGGTGTGATTTTTTAATTAAAAATGTATTTGGTTTCTAAGGGTGTTTTGACTCTTGGGATGAGTCACACTCCAAGACCAAGTGGCTGGTGGGCTTTGAGATCATGAAGACTTGTAAACCAAATACATTTTTTTTTTTTATTCCAAAAAACAAAGTTTATTGAAAACAAGATACAAATTATCACACGAAAATGTAAGATGAAGTGCACATAGGACATACAGCAAAGCATATATCATACAAAGGCAAATGAGGTCCAACGCAAGACCAAACAGTGTGGATGAACTAGGCCACGACAGGGTTGTGCCTGTAATATTTAGGTATGCTTGTCAAGTGCTAAAAATAAAGAGACGTCTGGCCTCCCACCATAATGTCTTGCGGTAAAAATCTGTAGGGGGGAGAAGAGCAAATACGATGCCTAGGTGAGAGTCCATACTACAGAATACGATGGTGTAATTGTGCGAATGTAGGAGTAATTGTCGTGGGAACCGCTAACGAATTGCGGGAGGTGATGCTGACAGCATACTCAGTGTTCTATTGGAAAAATTGTCCGAAACGTGTGTAAGCATATGAAAAGAAAAGAAAAGAGAAGGCGAGAAAAAAGGGAAAGAAAGAGGAAGAGGAGGAGAGAGAAAAAAAAAAAAGGGGGGGGGGGGGGGGGGGGGGAGGAAGGGAAGCAAATGAATGAGGAGGGTAAAATAAGAGAGGGGACAACCATCAAAAATATCTTATCCTCAATACAAACAGTAGCGGGAGTGGGTGGAACCTAAGCTATCATCGGCGTCAAAAGAATGCGTGTGTAACACAGGGGGGAATATGATGGCACCCTCAGGTCAAATACCACTAAATAACACTATCAGGAAGTCCAAATTAGGTTTAGACAGATTGGTCCATGAGGGATCGATACACCGGGGTAGTCAGAAAATGGGTCCAGC